CACATGGCAGAGTGTGGCGATGGAGACAGCAGCAATGGGAGGCCGTACAGGGACCCATGACACACTCTGGACCTGGCAGCAGCATGAGGAGGCGGTAAGGGGCCCATGACAGATTACGGGCCTGCAGCAGCATGAGGAGTCGGTACGGGGGCCCATGGCAGATTACGGGCCTGGCAGCAGCAATGGAGGCCCGTAATCTGCCAGCACCCTATGACAAAATGGAACCCACCAGCAGTGTGAGGAGACCTGAAAGTGGCACATGGCAGAGTGTGGCGATGGAGACAGCAGCAATGGGAGGCCGTACAGGGACCCATGACACACTCTGGACCTGGCAGCAGCATGAGGAGGCGGTACAATGACAGATTACGGGCCTGGCAGCAGCATGAGGAGTCGGTACGGGGGCCCATGGCAGATTACGGGCCTGGCAGCAGCATGAGGAGTCGGTATGGGGGCCCATGGCAGATTACGGGCCTGGCAGCAGCAATGGGAGGCCCGTAATCTGCCAGCACCCTATGACAAAATGGAACCCACCAGCAGTGTGAGGAGACCTGAAAGTGGCACATGGCAGAGTGTGGCGATGGAGACAGCAGCAATGGGAGGCCGTACAGGGACCCATGACACACTCTGGACCTGGCAGCAGCATGAGGAGGCGGTACAGGGGCCCATGACAGATTACGGGCCTGGCAGCAGCATGAGGAGTCGGTACGGGGGCCCATGGCAGATTACGGGCCTGGCAGCAGCAATGGGAGGCCCGTAACTGCCAGCACCCTATGACAAAATGGAACCCACCAGCAGTGTGAGGAGACCTGAAAGTGGCACATGGCAGAGTGTGGCGATGGAGACAGCAGCAATGGGAGGCCGTACAGGGACCCATGACACACTCTGGACCTGGCAGCAGCATGAGGAGGCGGTACAGGGGCCCATGACAGATTACGGGCCTGGCAGCAGCATGAGGAGTCGGTACGGGGGCCCATGGCAGATTACGGGCCTGGCAGCAGCAATGGGAGGCCCGTAATCTGCCAGCACCCTATGACAAAATGGAACCCACCAGCAGTGTGAGGAGACCTGAAAGTGGCACATGGCAGAGTGTGGCGATGGAGACAGCAGCAATGGGAGGCCGTACAGGGACCCATGACACACTCTGGACCTGGCAGCAGCATGAGGAGGAGGCGGTACAGGGGCCCATGACAGATTACGGGCCTGGCAGCAGCATGAGGAGTCGGTACGGGGGGCCCATGGCAGATTACGGGCCTGGCAGCAGCAATGGGAGCCCGTAATCTGCCAGCACCCTATGACAAAATGGAACCCACCAGCAGTGTGAGGAGACCTGAAAGTGGCACATGGCAGAGTGTGGCGATGGAGACAGCAGCAATGGGAGGCCGTACAGGGACCCATGACACACTCTGGACCTGGCAGCAGCATGAGGAGGCGGTACAGGGGCCCATGACAGGGATTATGACAGCCTGGCCTGCCAGCAGCATGAGGAGTCGGTACGGGGGCCCATGGCAGATTACGGGCCTGGCAGCAGCAATGGGAGGCCCGTAATCTGCCAGCACCCTATGACAAAATGGAACCCACCAGCAGTGTGAGGAGACCTGAAAGTGGCACATGGCAGAGTGTGGCGATGGAGACAGCAGCAATGGGAGGCCGTACAGGGACCCATGACACACTCTGGACCTGGCAGCAGCATGAGGAGGCGGTACAGGGGCCCATGACAGATTACGGGCCTGGCAGCAGCATGAGGAGTCGGTACGGGGGCCCATGGCAGATTACGGGCCTGGCAGCAGCAATGGGAGGCCCGTAATCTGCCAGCACCCTATGACAAAAAGGGAACCCACCAGCAGTGTGAGGAGACCTGAAAGTGGCACATGGCAGAGTGTGGCGATGGAGACAGCAGCAATGGGAGGCCGTACAGGGACCCATGACACACTCTGGACCTGGCAGCAGCATGAGGAGGCGGTACAGGGGCCCATGACAGATTACGGGCCTGGCAGCAGCATGAGGAGTCGGTACGGGGGCCCATGGCAGATTACGGGCCTGGCAGCAGCAATGGGAGGCCCATATCTGCCAGCACCCTATGACAAAATGGAACCCACCAGCAGTGTGAGGAGACCTGAAAGTGGCACACATGGCAGAGTGTGGCGATGGAGACAGCAGCAATGGGAGGCCGTACAGGGGACCCCCATGACACACACTGGACCTGGACCTGGCAGCAGCATGGGAGGCGGTACAGGGGCCCATGACAGATTACGGGCCTGCAGCAGCATGAGGAGTCGGTACGGGGGCCCATGGCAGATTACGGGCCTGGCAGCAGCAATGGGAGGCCCGTAATCTGCCAGCACCCTATGACAAAATGGAACCCACCAGCAGTGTGAGGAGACCTGAAAGTGGCACATGGCAGAGTGTGGCGATGGAGACAGCAGCAATGGGAGGCCGTACAGGGACCCATGACACACTCTGGACCTGGCAGCAGCATGAGGAGGCGGTACAGGGGCCCATGACAGATTACGGGCCTGGCAGCAGCATGAGGAGTCGGTACGGGGGCCCATGGCAGATTACGGGCCTGGCAGCAGCAATGGGAGGCCCGTAATCTGCCAGCACCCTATGACAAAATGGAACCCACCCAGCAGTGTGAGGAGACCTGAAAGTGGCACATGGCAGAGTGTGGCGATGGAGACAGCAGCAATGGGAGGCCGTACAGGGACCCATGACACACTCTGGACCTGGCAGCAGCATGAGGAGGCGGTACAGGGGCCCATGACAGATTACGGGCCTGGCAGCAGCAGCATGAGGAGTCGGTACGGGGGCCCATGGCAGATTACGGGCCTGGCAGCAGCAATGGGAGGCCCGTAATCTGCCAGCACCCTATGACAAAATGGAACCCACCAGCAGTGTGAGGAGACCTGAAAGTGGCACATGGCAGAGTGTGGCGATGGAGACAGCAGCAATGGGAGGCCGTACAGGGACCCATGACACACTCTGGACCTGGCAGCAGCATGATGAGGAGGCGGTACAGGGGCCCATGACAGATTACGGGCCTGGCAGCAGCATGAGGAGTCGGTACGGGGGCCCATGGCAGATTACGGGCCTGGCAGCAGCAATGGGAGGCCCGTAATCTGCCAGCACCCTATGACAAAATGGAACCCACCAGCAGTGTGAGGAGACCTGAAAGTGGCACATGGCAGAGTGTGGCGATGGAGACAGCAGCAATGGGAGGCCGTACAGGGACCCATGACACACTCTGGACCTGCATGGCAGCAGCATGAGGAGGAGGCGGTACAACAGGGCCCATGACAGATTACGGGCCTGGCAGCAGCATGAGGAGTCGGTACGGGGGCCCATGGCAGATTACGGGCCTGGCAGCAGCAATGGGAGGCCCATACAGCACCCTATGACAAAATGGAACCCACCAGCAGTGTGAGGAGACCTGAAAGTGGCACATGGCAGAGTGTGGCGATGGAGACAGCAGCAATGGGAGGCCGTACAGGGACCCATGACACACTCTGGACCTGGCAGCAGCATGAGGAGGCGGTACAGGGGCCCATGACAGATTACGGGCCTGGCAGCAGCATGAGGAGTCGGTACGGGGGCCCATGGCAGATTACGGGCCTGGCAGCAGCAATGGGAGGCCCGTAATCTGCCAGCACCCTATGACAAAATGGAACCCACCAGCAGTGTGAGGGAACCTGAAAGTGGCACATGGCAGAGTGTGGCGATGGAGACAGCAGCAATGGGAGGCCGTACAGGGACCCATGACACACTCTGGACCTGGCAGCAGCATGAGGAGGCGGTACAGGGGCCCATGACAGATTACGGGCCTGGCAGCAGCATGAGGAGTCGGTAGGGGGGCCCATGGCAGATTACGGGCCTGGCAGCAGCAATGGGAGGCCCGTAATCTGCCAGCACCCTATGACAAAATGGAACCCACCAGCAGTGTGAGGAGACCTGAAAGTGGCACATGGCAGAGTGTGGCGGCGATGGACAGCAGCAATGGGAGGCCGTACAGGGACCCATGACACACTCTGGACCTGGCAGCAGCATGAGGAGAGGCGGTACAGGGGCCCATGACAGATTACGGGCCTGGCAGCAGCAATGGGAGGCCCGTAATCTGCCAGCACCCTATGACAAAAATGGAACCCACCAGCAGTGTGAGGAGACCTGAAAGTGGCACATGGCAGAGTGTGGCGATGGAGACAGCAGCAATGGGAGGCCGTACAGGGACCCATGACACACTCTGGACCTGGCAGCAGCAAGAGGAGGCGGTACAGGGGCCCATGGCAGAGTGGCGAAGCGTAAGCAGCTTAAATTGAAGGCCATACAGAGGCCTATGTTAAAAATAATAACATGTTTGGGGCATGATTCATGGCGGATTTAGTCAGTTGTGTCAGGAACTGGTGGTTTGAAATCCAGACTAATCCACGCCTGATTCATTTTCACAAACGTGAGTCTCTCCACACTTTGGGTGGACAGTCGTGTCCTCCGCGGAGTTACAATACCTCCTGCCGCACTAAACACGCGCTCCGATGCCACGCTACTGGCCGGGCATGACAGCCTTTCAAGGGCAAATTCAGCTAGTTGGGGCCAAAGGTCAAGTTTCGTTGCCCAGTAGTCAAGGGGATTGTCTACCTCGGTTGGCAGGGTGCTGTCCAAGTAGGCCCAAGCCTGTTGTTTGAGGTCCTGCTCCAGGTCCACCTGATGCTGCTGCTGCTGCTGCGGCTGGTTAGTAGTTTCCTCTCACTGCGCTGGTGAAGAAAGCTACTCATCATCGACTGCAGACTGAGGCAGCCGCTGCTGGGGAGCTGCCACTGCTCCTACCACCCCACCCCTCCCCTGCTGCCATGGCAGCGGAACGCGAGCGCACAGGGCCCACAGTGTCTGAGGATGGACGTTGGCGCAGAAAGGCAGAGACCAACTGACTACATAGGTGGTTTTTATAGTACGTTATTTTGGCCTCCCTCTCAGCAGGTGTGAAAAAGGCCACCATTTTTTGAACGGTAGCGAGGGTCCAACAAGGTGGACAGCCAAAAGTCATCCCTCTGTCTGATGGTTATTATTCGGGCTGTCGCTACGCAAGCAACCGAGCATGCTATGGGCCATTTGTGCCAAGGAATGCGAGGGACTCCCTGCCTCCATCTCCACAGCATACTGCTGCCCACGGTGACCTCCTCCTCTTCTTCCTGTCCTGCCCCCACAGGGGGGGTCATGTGGCGTTGAGATCTGTGCGCCACGTCTACCGCACCCTGACCAGCCATTGTTAACAGCATTTGTTCCAGGACGTGCAACAGAGGAATGACGTCGTTCATCCCATAGTCCTGCCGACTCACGAATAGCGTGGCCTCCTCAAAGGACCTGAGCAAGCGGCAGGTGTCACGCATGAGCTGCCAATGGCTGACATCTAAGTTACACAGGGGAGTACCTTTATCCGCTTGTAACATCAGGAAATCGGTGATGGCCTTTCGCTGTTCGTAAAGGCGGTCTAACATAATGTAGGGTTGAATTCCACCTGTTGTTGCAACGTCGCAGATCAGGCGATGCTGTGGAATTCCGTTCTGCCGCTGCAGCTCAAGGAGGGTGTGCTTTGCGGTGTAGGAATGGCTGAAATGCATGCAAAGTTTACGTGACATTTTAAGGATGTCTTGCAGTGGGATGGTGGATTTTAGGAACCGCTTGACAACCAGATTGAACACGTGAGCCATGCATGGCGCATGAAGGCACAACCTTCCTTGACGCAGAGCAGACAGCCCATGTTCTTTCCGTTGTCGGTCAACATGGTTCCGATTTTCAGTTTGCGCGGAGACAGCCATCCTGTCGATTTCTCTGTTCATTACACTCAGAATTCCTCCCCTGTGTGACTACGTTCGCCAAGGCATACCAGGTGCAGCACAGCGTGACACCGTTGCGCCCTGCACATGTGATATCCGGTCGGGTAAATGGGACTTGGCACGGTGGGGGTGGCGGCTGAGGACACGGCGGAAGAAGAGGGGGTAGAGGCGGACATCTTTGCTGGACCAAGGACGTGCAAACGTGGAGGCAAAAGCGGCGTGACCTGTCCAAGATTTTTGTGTGCGGCTGTGCCGGCACCACGTTCACCCAGTGGGCCGTAAATGACATGTATCTGTCCCTGACCGTAGTTACAGCTCCACACGTCGGCGCTTTTTGACAAAAATGTGCCACCAACTTTGGCAGAGACCGACATGCTCAAAGACTGGCCCACCATCTCTTCTACATGTGAATGCAGGGCTGGCACTGCCTTTTTGGCTTGCGAAGAGAAATGCCGGCTTGGCACTCTCCACCGCGGCGCGGCACAAGCCATCATTTCTCGGGAAAGGTGCTGAGTCCACACTTGGAAAGGGAGGGGACTGCAGCAGCATGGCAACTTGGACAGGAGGACGTTCAGCATCTGCACCGTCGTGTGCGTGCTCGCAAACTGTTGTCTCTTGGAAACGGATTGCCAAGAAAGACTGCTGACGGAATCACGGTGAAGAGGTCGTAGCAGGAGAAGGAGCATCTGAACGAGTGCGGGAAGATGCCAACGCCAATTAGCGACAACTCCCCTCAGCAGAGGTGTTGGAGCCTTGACTGGCTGATAGAAGGGCGATTGACGTCGGGTGTCGGAGACCAAGTAACCAGCGGGTGATGGAGCGGGGGCTGGGGCAGGCAGAACCGCCGTATCTTTATCACGGTTTTCCCAGGCCACCGAATGGCGACGCTGCAGTCCTCATGCTGACGCAACGCTGTAGTCCCAACATTGGCCCCCTGGCCTTGTGCTTGACTTTTTCTGGCCACATAGTGGCGACATACGGCTACGTTTACTTCCTCGGGCGCCCTCTTGACGAAAAACTTGCTCACACCGCCCGAGTAGGAAACTTGGCCCCCGCTATCCTCACTGGCTGACTGCTACTTCCGACCTGTGCACACCGGCACCACGATGGGCCGTGAGAAGGGGTGGTAGGCTGCAGTGGGAGCTGGTGCAAACTCCGTGGCCGTTTGGCCTCCACTGGACACGCTGGCGACCCTGCTGCCTCGACCCCTGAGGAGGGGGGCAACCCACCGACGGGTTTTGCTCGCTGCATCAAGCTGGCACCCTGTAGTCTCCTGATGATGCGGCCCAAGCAATACCTGATGACGACGAGGCTGCCAAGTGCGATCAGCCTCATCTATCATCAATTAGGGTCTCCGCCGCACTACTACCCCCTCTCGGCTGCGTGTGGGTCAGGAGACAGACCTGTCTCTAGACCGGCTAACCCGAGCCACTCTCCTCGCCAGTTACTTCTTCGCCTGGCGAGCTGTAAAAGAGGCGGATGTCTAGGGGCCCCCGTTCCTGAACGCCCTCTGTTAGCTCGTCCTCACTGTACAGTGGGGCTGAGCCCACAGCATGCGATATTCGCTTGGTGATCAGGAACACCCACAAGGACAGGGGCAGGTAGAGGACACGTGATTTCAGTGGGCTTGCTCCCTGAGCCATGCCAACTAACGGTTGTGAGGTCCTGACGTAACCCACCGACCGTTGGCTGTAGGTGTCAGAGGTGACCTGGGCTACTGAGGAAGACGACCGAGCCAACCAATCGATGACGGCAGGGTTGTCGGTGGAGACACGACCGTCTGGATGACACCCGGGAGCACACTGGCCTCTGGCTGCGACTAGTGACTGCCTCGACCCCTTCCTCTGCTGCCAACGTCTGCTCGCTCCTGAAACATTGCCTCCGTCTGCCACTCCTCTGCGTGTTGTCTGACATAACTCTTTAATTCATCGATTTCT